ACCATGAGTTTCTGGATCTGAAGTTTGAGGGAAGCCAATTAGTGGGAAATAGCCAAATTAATAGGGTCCAAATGGGATAATGACTTTTCTAGAAACCAGGAACCGGAACATGCTAAAATATATTGCTGTCCTCTAATAGCAGTGTTCATACCATTGATTATAAGTCATTGGGCTGTTGTATAGTTAACTGCTTGAACCTTATATTGGTGAAAGTTGGTGGTTGGATAGCTCTAGTGTTTCCCGGATGCCAGGTTTTCTTTGGTCTTGTTGTATGAACAGTAATCGGGAAGAATTCAGGCTATATAATCCCATTGTAGAAGAGGTAGAAAGAGCACCTTTGTAGTGCTCAGCTTGAGTTCCATGTTGCTTTATTTGTTTATCTTCTGTGGTAAATTCTGCAAGGAAAAAACTGTCCTTAAGCTTAGAAAAGTAACCATTTCTGGACTATTTAAGTTTTTAACTGTTAGATGCTGTTCGTACTTGGCAAAAGATGTGAAAAACATGACTTTTTCTCTGGGATTATTTGTGAACCATATAGATCATAAGGTTATTCAGAATGACTTACAATATGACTAGAAGGCTTCACAATGTGAGATCCAATTTTCTTATGCTCATTTTTTGAGTGTGCATGAGTTCAAGAATAATGAGAATGGTGCCTAATTGAGGTATTAATATTGCCTAACTTTTTGTTCACTTACAGATACGGTTAACAGAAGTGCAACAGCAAAAAACTGTGCAGCAAGATATGAAGCCCGAACATTGGAGAAGATGGCTAAATTGGAAAGTTGGCGCAAGGAGCTAAAGCTCTTGGAACATAAAAAAGCTGAACTCGCAACATCATCAAATTGAGGTTTGTTTTTAGGGTGAAGGAGCTGTAGTTAAGTTAGTTACCCTTGCTTGATGAAGGTGTAAACACTACATCTTGGGAAGGGACGGTAAAATATTTCTTGATTTTGCTTTGCCAAACCATCTATGCTGTCAGCGCAGTTTGTTCAACCATTGGTCCTGAAATTCACTTATGCCACCATTGGACAAATTCCCAGTTTTGGTCTTCTGCTTCATGATGTTTTCTTCTCACTGTAAAAGGGGTGTGTCAACAGATCATCAAACCAGGCCCCCTTTGGAGATAAATTGTGCCTTGGACTTGTGGTGGACTCTGAGCTTTGTGTGCGTATATTCTGGATGTTCTTTTCCAAAACATGCTTCAACTTGCCTACTCATGAACAAAGGGGACCTAACATAGGAGCATGCCTTCACCAAGCATGCACCAAACCCTCTTCGTGCCGGATGGAATAGAAGGCGAATTTAAAAGTCGTATCTGAGGTTCGTCTATAGTGTGGCATGAGAGAGGTGAGTCGTCAATAGTTTTATTTCGGAGAAGTTGGTTCTCAGACTCAAATTCCGGATAGAAGTTGGTTCTCAAACTCAAAATCCTGATGTATCACTTGGGCAGAGAACTGACTAATAAATCCAAAACAAAGAAGAAAAAAAGAAGATAAATCTAAGTTATTTCACTTGGTCTGCTTGATTAAATTCTAGACTAGAAATCATTTTGCTGCCCTTTACCTTTTGTCATCACAACCTATAAGGTGGGTAGATATTCTGTATAATTAATTATGTTGTCTTACCAATGTAATTGAATCATGTCTGATCTTAGATATCAAGTCTTTGCAAACCCATATAAAGTTTTATAGTAAATTATGTTATACATACTAGCACTTTTTCATACACGTACGCAGCGTAATTCTGATCCTTTGCTTTTTTTCTTCTTAGCAAAAGAAATAAAGGTTTCTGTTTTGTATTCAAAAACTGTTTTTAGGAATAATTTTAGAAAATCGTTTTGGTGTTTTTTGTGCCGCAAAACTTGTATAGTTATATGATTTTTAAAAACAGTTTTACGGAAAAAAAATAATAAAAATTATTTAAAGGCATTGCTTGGTAAGGTTACAAGGGCTCAGTATCACTCCCACTGTTGGCATCCTACGAGGATTCAACATCTGAATCATCCAAACCTTCTTTATATAGTTCGAACTCCTCCGGGCTCGATCTGCATATCAAGTGAAGCCGGAAGGTAGCCATCTTGATACCCAGCAGACGCTGCATAACACCAAACCCATGTTCAATAATTTGCAACAGCCACTACTACTATCTGTTGAAGACCGGTTTATGTGTAACATAACACAAATAACTCGCGACAACAGCATATCTTAGGCCGTGTACATACAAAAATAAAAATTGACAGAGATATGCTGTTTAAACTAAAAATGAACAAAAATGCACCCAAAATATAAAGGAAAAAAGAAGAAAAAATGTCTACAGATGCATCTCCCCAATCAGAATTTACGGCATCTATGGAAGAGTCACAATCAGAGTTTTAAACTGGTAACCCCCCCAACGCCAAGTAGTATTGCCAACTTGCACCTGATCTTCTGAAGATGTGTAGTACACTTGTGTTCGTCATAAGTAGATATACTTTAAACCCCAAATTGTGTGGAAAGAATCCTACGTTGCCTTGGTGGGACTCCCATCAGAACAAATACCATGTGAGTGTACAGAAAACCCCAAACACATGTATGAAGTTTTCCATCTTAAGTAATGTAGCAGTCAAAAGATGCAACATTTGGATATGCGAGATGACTCGGGTGACAGCGGCTTCCCCTCTTCACAGACAACAAAGTCTGAAACAAGCTCCACCACACCTGCGAATCATATATTAAGTCGATGGTATGCAGCAAACCATTTAAAGATTACATTGCCGTAGGATAAAGATTTAATTAACAACAAAAACCCTTGACCATGAATGGGCCAGACAAATTGGAAAGATTCTCACCATCAGCAAAGATTTTGGGGAGAGGGTACATGAGAAATCCCTTCAAAGTTCATCCCATTCGATCACATGTAGGAATGACTCATATTTCGTTGATGGGCCATTTATGTTGTGAATTTTTACCTTCAGACACTCTGTAAAACCATTCAAATTCATGTGGCACCCAAGTGCATGAAGTCTGACAAACATAAGAACTGCCACCATACCTTTGCTGTTGAAATGCTTCCAGTCCTAGCAAAATCATATTCTTTGTACTTGTTAAATAATCTGTCAGAAGATATTGAATGGGAAAAAAGGTTATAGAAGACTAGACAGAGAAATAAAAAGAAAGCCAAGGAAAAAATGCAGTGCAACAATGAGTAATGCAACCAGTAGCTTCAATTGATTAGAATTAGGAAGAATTTTCCAGTGTCAGTCATGTAAAAGCAAAAAGACAAGAGTCAATTTCCATGATTGAGATTCAAAACTCAAGTGCTAGAGCAGCAAACCATTACAAGACACGAGTTGACACATTATAGTTTCTATACAAATGGAGCAGTACAGCCCATATCAGCACCTAGAGTTCCTGGGTTCTATCAAATCATGTCCTTTGAGGCTCTACCGCTTAAAAGCAACGGAAGCAGCGGAGACCTCAAGAATACATAATCAAATGTAACATTATAGCCTTACCAAGTATGTCATTCAAGAGGAGTACACAAGGCAATAGGGTTATTGGAGAAGAAAGGGTAATTTTTTAGGCCCATTTTCAGAAGTACAAGTGTAAGATAGCCTATACTCAACTAAAAAAATAGGAATAATGCAACAAGAGTATAAATCATGTAGCTGTCTCCCCAAAATCCGTATACCTATCTTAATTTTTTATTTTAAGAATTTAACGACATGTGTGAAATTTGCATTGGATTCAAATAAATTTTGTTTTATATTATCTAAAATCTATACCCCGAGCAATTCTTGAAGTTCGAATTTCAAAACCAAAGAAAGGTGTTGCCCCTACTGTGAAGGTAGAACTTGAATTTCTTCATATTTTGTCATCTAGATAGCATTGAAGGAGCAGTAGAGTTTCAGTGCATTACAAATAGGTTTTCAAGGAGTTACCTTTGGACCTCTTCTTTTGATAAATTGGTAAAACAAAGCCCAGATTCCCCACACAGAAGCTGGAGAAGAAGAATTTTTCTACAAAATTAACAAAACAACCAATTTAACCAGGAATAAAACTTCAAATGGAATTTCAATATTCAATGTACATACAAGAGCATGCCTACCTTAGAAATCTTGTGAAGATCTGGCCTGATTTCATCGGAAAAAGATTGACCACCTATAGAAACCTGCATGACTTTGTTGCATCCAAGGAAAAATCTGACACAACAACAGTATAGATTGTATGTGATTATACTGCTATAGTGAGAGTACAATAACTTTTAAATATAAATACCCCAACATCTATGTTGCAACTTGTAAAAGTGTAATTCCAGAGAAAAATTTTGGTGAGTAATACATACCACGTGGAATAGCCCACCAGGTGTGCATACCCAATAAGATACTGCCCCTCAGTTTTTAGTTAGAGACAATTTAAAATAGCCAACACATTTACTCCATGGTTGATAGCAGCTAACGTCAAACATATCGGTGTAAGTTTCGAGAACAACAGTAGCTGAAATTCGCATTAGTATTTTTAGATTAGGTTATATATGTAGAGTCCCATTCAAACGCATGCCGTCGCGGTTTTCAGCCTCTCGGTGCATTAAATTCCTCAAAGTTATTGACAATAAATATCAAAACCATGTAACAACTCAAAACGTATGTATTCCCACACAAACATATCCTATAAAGTTTTCCTTGCAGAAATAAACTTTAAATAGGTACGTACAAGTAAAAGGAACTAAATCTCACAAACTGCATGGTAAAGAAAGTAGGATGGGGCTAAATCCGCATCCCCTTTCCTTCACTTATCTGACTAATGATTTGCTTCAAAGGCGGAAACCTCATCTCTCTTTGCTTCCTAAGCGGTGCATCATGTGCAAAAGAAATGAGGAGGGCATTGATCATCTATTTCCTCATTGCCCTTTTGCTCATTCTTTATGAAATAGGTTGTTTGGTTTAGTAGAAATGTGTTGGATTGCACCTTTGCATTGCAACGTTTAAAATTGAGTTTTGGGACCATGGAAAGAATAAAAAAAGCCAAATCACTTTGGAGATATGTGGTTTTGGCCATCTTTTTGAGTATCTGGCTCCAAAGAAATGCACGAATTTTTTAAGATAAGGGTGAAGGAGTGGATTGCTTATGGAAAATAATTACCTTTTTGCTGTCACTTTGGGTTTCCATGTGCCCTCATTTTGCGGGAAATCCTTTGTTATTAATTAGGGAGGATTGGAAATCCATTTGCAGATTGGAATTTTTGTTTACTACTCTATGTTTTTATGTTTGTATTATTGAAGGACTTCATCCCTCATGTAAGTTCATCCCTCGTGTAAGTCATTTTCATTATTAATGAAAAGCTTTTGTTGATTATCAAAAAAAAAAAGATCTGGCCCACTCTATAAGAAGAACAAGCAAATTTTAAAAAATGTGTAACCTTTCATCCACTAAATCCATGTCTCCCCTAAGAAGGGGAGGATAATCAATTTTTCAATGAAGAAACTAGCTTCGGGCTTTATTATGTGCAGTTCAATCCAACATTGTTACACCACATATTCAAACTGCTTGGTTCACAAACTATGCTTTTGACTAATGAATGTAAGCAAACACAATAATATGAATTCATTGCTTTCATCCATCACTTATTCAAGCAGTACCCAAATATATGGTGAACATAACCTGATGGGTTAAGCCCAAATAGTCCAATTTATGTGTTAAAGTCCAACCCAGTTGAGGACCCAATCTCATTTTGAATCTACCAAGTCCAAGACCGATTAGATTTTTTGCTTAGCCGGCATCAAGAGGAGAGCATGGGAAGCTTATCTGCACCACTGAAGGAAACGGTCCAATCTTTGACCATGTTTCATGAAGAGCTCCCCAACCTCCTCCTTCCGTTAAGGATAAGTCTTGATCTCCACCAGAATAATCTTTTAGTGCTATAAAGTAGTTTTGAGGATAAGTCATGATCTCCACCAGAATGATCTCTTAACTGCGATAAAGTAGCCTTGAGGATAAATCATGATTTCCACAAGAATGATCTCTTACCTGCTATAAAATAGCCCCAATCTGTTAGGAGACTACTATATATGACACGCTCCACCAACACTTACAGAGGACAGACCGACGACCGGAGACCACTGCTTCTTTGATTCTCCATTCTCTCAAAGCTTGTATCTCTATTCTCCATACCTTTGAATTAATAAAATACCCGACAACTGAAGCCATTGAAGAGTGGACGTAGGTCGAATTGACCGAACCACTATAAATCGTGTCTTCTTTAATTTTCTCATTGATTTCATTGCATTTATTACCTACACTTGACAGGTGGTGTGCAAAATCATTTTTGTGCATCATCAGTTTGGCGCCGTCTGTGGGAATTGACAAAATTCTCACTCCTGAACATTACATCCATTAACTAATAGCGATCACTACTCGATCCATGAACCAACATGAAGAAATCCTCCACGAGAGGAGGAGTTGCTCCCCCGCCTATCAACCCTGTTCCGGATACTCTAACTCCGAATCCCCAGCAAATATTGGAGACCATGCAGCAACTGGTTGCTCAAAACCAACAGTTACTTCAACTTATACTTGCTGCACAAGGAGGAGCACCACACGGAGGTGCACATCATGGAGGGCCCCACGAAGGTGCACAACATAAAGCACCCCAAGGAGCTCCACGCCTGGGCGCCCCATTAGGCGCCCCACTTCGGGAAGCCCAACATGAGGGAGCTCCACCTCCCCCTCCCCTTGCTTCCCAGGGAGAGGACCCTTATCTCCAGGAGGATGAGGATGAAAACCAAAGCATGGAGCATGGAAGCCACTTCCATGATCATTCCAGAGAAGCCCCCAATCATTGGGACGAGAAGATAAAGGAGGTACAGAATCAACTCGGTGATGTCTTCAACTCCATGAAGGCACAGGGACCCGAGACTGTTGACCACCTGGTAAGGCGTACTGATACGTCTTTCAAACCTGATGTAGCAAACTACCCCCTCCCTCAAAAGTTCAAAATGTCATCTATGAAGACCTTTGATGGAACAAAGGATCTACTAGACCACCTTGACACTTACAAGACCTTGATGCAATTGCACAACATACCAGACGAAATCATGTGCAGGGCATTCCCAACCACGTTAAAAGGGTCTGCCCGACAGTGGTTTGCTAAGCTCTCCCCCGCCTTTATTACCTCTTTCGCCGAGCTTAGCAGATCATTCGTCTCACACTTCATTGGAGGGCGTCGCCACCAGAAGCCATTTACGCACCTACTTAGTATAAAGCAGGACCGCGAGGAGAGCCTGAGGAGTTACCTCACTCGTTTTAATGAGGAGGTACTCAAGTTGATGAACCCGACAACAAGGTGACGATGACCGCCTTCTTGGGTGGCCTCCGTTCATCAAGCTTCCTTTTCTCAGTTCTGAAGCGCCCACCGAAAAGCATGTCAAAGCTACTAGCCAAGGCCCAAAAGTATATAAATGCAGAAGACATCACAAGGGTCAGGTAGGGTGAGTCTTCTAGAGCAGGGGAGAAAAGGAAGGAAAAGGAGAGGGACAATAAGAAGGAAACCAGCAACAAACATGGCAGGACAGAGAAAGTCCCTGTCAAGGACCGGCAAGGTCCTGTTCCTCAGAGAAACCGTCAACCCTTCACTCCTCTCAATGCTTCCGTGGAACACATCTTATTCTAGATCTAGGATGATCCCGCGATAAAGTGGCTTGAAAAAATGAAGTCTTCTCCAAATCGCAGAAATCCTAACAAGTATTGGCGCTTCCATCGTGACCACGGGCATGACACCGACGATTGCTACGACCTCAAGAGGCAAATTGAGGAGTTCATCCAGCATGGTCACTTACGCCAGTACGTTGCTGGAAGGGAACGAGCACCACAACCTCACAACCAGGAAGATCAACAGCCCGTGGGGGAAATCCACACCATCTCAAGGGGACTAGCAGGTGGGGGAGAATCACTTTTCGCGATGAAGGCCCATGCCAGAAAGGCAAGAAATGTCTATGAGATGCGTCCATCTAAGGTGCCGAAGCAGGAAGGCGACGAGGTCATATCTTTTTCAGACAAGGACTTTGAGAAATCCAACACCCCCATGACGACCCCTTGGTACTCACCATGACAGTGGACAATTTCATGTGTATAGGATCCTGGTGGATAGTGGCAACTTCACAGATATCCTGTTTGCAGAGGCCTATGACAAGCTCAACTTGGGCAGGGAGAGGCTACAACCAATCAGGTCACCCCTCATTGGATTCTCAAGGGAAAAAGTGTATCCCCTTGGATCCATCACACTTCCCGTCACCGCCGGAGTAACACCCCGAAGCTCACAGTCATGGTCAATTTCCTGGTAATAGAGCGCCCGTCAGCCTACAACATCATATTAGGGCGGCCAGCTCTTAACACATTAAGAGTTGTGCCCTCTACCTACCATCTCTTTCTCCGCTTTTCAACCTCAAATAGAGTCGGAGAGGTCAAAGGGGACCAAATAACAGCCAGAGAGTGCTATGTATCCTTTATGAAGGCTAGAAGCCCCAAGAAGCATTGCAGGTTAAGGTCCTTGACCCAAGGGATGACTCTGCAACAGAGAGGAGAACCAGTCGAGGAACTCATCCCTGTGGTCTTAGAAATGGAGCACCCAGACAGAAGAATTTACATTGGCTCTTCCCTTTCTGAAGAGCTGGCCCCCTATTAATTGATTTTTTGAAGCGTAATATGGACATCTTTGCTTGGTCGCATGAGGACCTTGAGGGCATCGACCCGAAAGTAGCTACCCATCGCCTCAATGTCGATCCATTGTACAAGCCTATTCGCCAAAAGTTAAGGGGAGCCTCCACTGAAAGGGCCCAAGCCATGGATAAGGAGGTTAGAAGCTGATTGATAACGCGGCAGTCAGGGAAGTGGCGTATCCGGAATGACTCTCTAATGTAGTAATGGTTACTAAGGCTAATGGAAGTGACGCCTCTGTGTCGACTTCACAGAACTAAATAAGGCATGCCCAAAAGATAGTTATCCACTGCCGCGGATTGACCTCCTCATCGACGCCACCGCTGGGCATGAGTTACTCACTTTCCTGGATGCATACTCTGGGTACAACCAGATTAGCATGCATCCCCCAGACCAAGAGAAGACATCATTCATCACGCCAAAGGGAACATACTGCTACAGGGTCATGCCCTTTGGGCTAAAGAA